TTAACTGGAAGGTGAAAAAGAAGATAAACAACAGGGGGGAATAAAGTAAAATAATTTAATTTAATGAAAAAAGTAAAGTGAGGAACAAAGGCGAGAAAAGAGGGCAGCAGAAAAGAGAAAATAAGAAAAAAGGAGGAAAACAAGGAGATAGGGAGATCGGGGAGGGCGGGGGGCCGGAGTTTATGATGGCAAAATGTCTGAGAGTTTATAACTACTTTATCTGCAGCAGAGAATGAGGAGTTCTCCTGCCCTCAGGGCTGTGTTTTGTGGCGGACATGTACATCTCAGAACTCGATAGAAAGAAATAGACACGGGCAGCAAAAAGTAAACTCACGAGGACTTGGAACGCTTCCTCTACTCCAGGGGTGCCCATAAGGTCAATCGCGATCTACCAGTCGATCGCGTAGCGATCACTGGTAGATCGCCATGTCCTCTCCTCTGCAGATGCAGACGCTGCAGATGGAAAGGTGCAGGACACCCCATGTGCAACGTCGGCCACACGAGCACCACGGGAGGACAGGACGCCGGGACCTGTAATGTACTGGAATGCACTGGAATGTAAGCAGGCCGACTCCCTGCGTTCCGGTGCGGGAGGGGGTGTGGAGCTGTATTGAAGTCAATGGCATCGCCCACAGTGCGATCGCCCGCACTCGGAACGCAGGCACATTAGTGCCTGCATTCCGGTCCAGTGCGATCTGCAAAAATAGTGCTCGCAACATTTTTGCGGATCGCACTGGACTGGAACACAGGCACTAATGCAGGCGATCGCACTGTGGGCGAGGGGCCTGCCTGCGCAGCCCACGCCCCCTCCAGCCCCTGAATGCAGGTGTTTTTTCGTTGGTAGATCTCAATGAGCTCGTCATTTGAAAAGTAGATCACCAGATGAAAAATAGTGGGCGCCCCTGCTCTACTCTATCCGAAACTAAAGAGACGTTTGGGCTGTACATCCATTTTAATCTTGATTTGAATTTTTGTCTCTGCAGACCAGAATGAGTGCACTTAATTCAAATTAGAACAATGGGGATTTCACTACAGCAACTCCCCCCCTCCCCAAATCTGCCATATCTGGATTTTCTGCTTGTTGCCACCTGCGGTTGCTTCTGTAGCTGACCTCATGATTTGCCTTTATTTTAATTTTAGCTGTGTTCTTGTTTAGATTGCGATGCTGGAGCTAATGCAGAGAAGACATGACTTTATATGTTACCTTCTCAGGGATCCCAACCTGAAAAAAGTCATTTGAGAGAGGTGCCCTTCTTATTACTGGGAGGCAGTGGCGACTCTAGGAACAATATATAGGGGGGGGCACATAAGATACCACAGTCAAAATGGGGGGGCACTAATAATTTTCACCACCAAATCATAACACTGAAAATAACTAAAGAAGTATATATGAATAAGATTACAAGGGTGTATTATTTTATACGTGGGGGGCACGGAACAGGGGGGGTGTATTGTGTTATATGTGGGGGCAGGGAGCTTTATGGTAATATTGTTAGTTATTTATTCTTGTAACTGTAACGCTGAGGGAATTAATTTAATGGAGGGCGTGGATCTCAGCTTCAGAGGAATGTATAACTATGACTATGGGTAGTAGTTCACGTGGCACAAGCAGGTAGCAGATATTTTTATTAGTATAGGTTTATACACTCAGACGGGAGCAAACCTGCGGTGAGTAGCTCTGGGGTGTTGCTGCCACCCGATGACCACAAATGTGGTCTTCCCTCTGCTGCTGGCAATGGATAGGAGATCTCTCTCTCTCAGGAGGCGGGACGGAGGCAGAGCCGTGGAGAGGCTGCAACAGCCTAGGAGGAGGGGCTCTGTCCGGCCCAAACGAGGGGTGCCAAGAAGGGGCTCTGTCCGGCCCAATAGGAGGTAGTGAGATGGGGCTCTGTCCGGCCCAATAGTGCGGTCTGCTGTGGAGGGTATTTGCCTGGCGTCAGGCTCCAAGCACGAACGCCAGGCAAATGACTCTGCTGCCCTAAATAGGAAAAGGGGGAGGAGTCCGATGACGTCGCCGTTCATGACGTCACTCGAGCTCCGACATTGCCGCTCGTGACTGCCGGAACCCATGCTATGAGGTAGGTACGCTACAGTAACTTTATTCTGCATAAAACATGTAACAGTCTCATTGATAAGATTATTTAAGAGGGTGTGTTTAGGGGCTGAGTTAAGGCCGCGACAGGGTAGGGGTTATGTGGGCAACTGGTGGCGAGTAACTCTTAAGGCCTGGCTAGTAGCTCAGGACTTAAAATTTTGACCCCTGAATTATGGGATCTTTCCCCTTCGTATTAAACACTTGGATTAGGATGTTTATTATAATTAAAATGATACATTTAAGGTTGAGGGTTTATCCCTTTTTATTATTTTTTTCCTTTCTCTTTTTCCTAGGGGGTGTAGAATGTTGATGAAGGTGAATGTTAAATGTATTTGTATGTGAAAAGTGATTGTCTAATGTTGTTTTTTTTTATGTATTAAAAAAGAATATGAATAAAAAGTTGATAAAAAAAAAGAAAATATACCAAGCCAAATTACATTTGACTTTGTGTTTTTTTTGTGTTTTTTTTTAAATCTATGTGTAGGTCAACTCCAACAAAAGTAGTCCTGCATCCAGTTGCTGTTGAGGCTGTCAATTACAATGCTCAGCTTTTTGGATCATCTCTACCAGTCAAGGTCATGGAGGCATTGGCAAATGCTGATGGTGAGTTGTGTTTTTTGCTGTGTTTTTTTTTTTTTTTAAATTGTTTTTATTATTATTTATCAAAAGCTAAAGCTGCAAATATTTATTTCAATGTTCTCTTGGTAGATTGTTTTTAAAAATTTGATACTGAATTGAATTATCTTTATCTCTTTTAGGTTGAATGTTATGGGCATATTTATAAAGCAGTGAATGTGATTTCCATATCCACCAGGAAGATAGATCTGCAATGAATTTTAGATTCACTGCTTTATAAATGGCCCGTTATAGTAAACTGTTTGTATTTTGCCCCATTCAGGTTTAGCCCACCAACTCCATTATAGATAATCCCTCCCTGTGCTCTGTCTCTCCTTTCCCCAGATGAATACCAGTGACTTTGAATTTTTTTTAACAATGAATTTTTATTAAGAAGAACAAGACAAGTAGCAACACAACAAAAACACATTAAAATCTTAAGGTATAAAAAGAGAACAATGCTCAAACAGTGTACTAAATAGAGTTGCATAGTTACATAGTATTTGGGGTTGAATAAAGACATACGTCCATCAGGTCCAACCCATATAGGTCCACGCATCATCATATAGTTAATCCACTCCAAATAATGCAAGTCCCGTCAATGTTCATAGAGGTGATCTGTGTGTCCAAGATGCATAGATCAGTTATCTAAACCGAAGTAACCTATGGCTTAGGTAAAGACATTTTAAATTTAATAGGAACAGGGAAGGGGTGAAGGAACATCATTAGGTGGTATGAGGATGGGTACGAAAGGAACTGCTGCCTAGACTAACCTTGGGGAAGGGTTGATTGATGTAGGGTGAGATAACATTGAGGTAAATCTAAGAAACAGGATAAAGTACGAGATCTTGTTGCACTCACCGTATATACCAAACGATGGGGAGGGTGCTTATAATGACTGCGGATGGCACCCCTGTATGCATAAGATGGTTATAAAGAATGTCACCAGCACACCGAAAATCCTTTCAGGATCATTTTATTGAACAATTTGTCAGAATGGAATCAAGCGCTTTCGGGACCTTGCAAGGTCCCTTCATCAGTCTTTAACATCGACATCTAAGAAACAGAGACATGTACCTAGGAAAAGCAACAATGTATTTATTTTAAAAGCAAACAAAATAAACAAGTAATATGCCAAAATGTACTGGTATAGAATTAAGATCGGGGGACCATAACTATCCGAAAGCCAACAAGTCCAATTAGTAGTGAATTGAATCCACTTGCAGTTGGCCTTTGCAGAGAGTTGTTCTAAATGGGCATTAGTATTGAGGATATCAATCACCATAGAGCGGGAAGCTGGATTCTTTGGTTTCCGCATTTTTACTAATGCTAGTCTGGCCGCTGTAAAGATGTGGGAAACAATAGTACGCTGACACAGAGGCCAGGTGTCGATGCCAATTCCTAATAAAGCTAGTTGAGGAGAAAACATTCAAGGAGTTTACGTGACTGTGGAGAGGAGCTCTAAGACCTTACCCCAATATCTTACTAGTTTGGGGCATCTCCAGAGCAGATGGATTAAAGATCCCTGGTGGTGGCCACACTTTGGGCAATTGGGGTCGGCTCTATATCCAATACGGAACAGAAATTCAGGCGTTCGGTAAACTCTGTGAACAATGAACAATTGCGTCAGTCTATGCGTGGGTGACATTGACACTTGTTCAACTCCCTGAAGAACTTCCTCCCATCTTCATCTGACATAGTTCCCAGGTCTGACTCCCACCCCTCCCGACACTTTAAAGGGTTAAGAACATCAGACTTAAGGAGGAGGTGACTACAGAAAGGAGATCACTCCCTTGGTGTGAGTAGCCAAAAATACCGCATCCAAAATCGGAGTAGGAGAAAACCTGGGGGGGGGGTCATGCCCTAACTGCGCCCTTAGAGCATGTTGCACCTGGAGGAACTGAAACTGGCACCTATGAGAAAGCACAAAGGGAGAGGACAGATACCGAAAGGAACACAACTCCCCCATCGGGTACAGCTGAGAGACGGATACAACCCCTTTGCGCGTCCAGTCCACCGTACCGTGCAGGGGCAGAAGTTCTGGGAGCCTGCCATTTTGCCACAGAGGCATGTGTTGGTCCACCACCCGGGTTAGTTGGTCCACCCCCAAAGCGTGCTTGGTGGCCACCCAGACCTAACCCATTAAGCGTACCGTAGGAAGTGCAGAGTGTCTTTTTAGTATTCACATCACTGTCAAAGTAACACAGAGGGTCCAGACTGTTAAACAAAACAAATGCAGAAGAAGTGAAAAGGATTGTGGGGGATTATCCGCCTCAGCCCAGGCTGCAAAATAAAATCATGGGTTAGGCAATGCCAGCCCCCCACAAGCCTTCGGCCTCTGCAGGACATCAAGACGCAGCCTGGCGGATTTCATCCTTCAGACCAGGTCCTTGAATATACCGTTGATCAGACGGAAGGTCTTTTTTGGGGATCCACATTGGAGAGTTGTGCATGACATACAATAACTGGGGTAGCCATATCATTTTAATCAAATTCACCCTGCCAGCCACCGAGAGCGGTAATTTAGCCCAGGAAGCACGTTGAGACCTAGAAGGGGGAGCAAATTCAAAGAGAGGTAGTCAAGGGGAGAAGCTGTTATTTGTATGCCCAAATGGGTAATAGCCGACTGGACCTGCAGATGAGACAACTCGGGAGCCAGAGGCGCAGGCAGAGGGTCCAGCTGAAGCAGATTGCACTTTTCCCAATTGACAACCAGGCCTGAAAATTTGGCGAACATAGTTAGTAGGGACATAGCATTAGAAAGGGAAGATCATGTATCCGCCAGAAACAAAAGGGTATCAGCATACAGCACAATCTTTTCTTCTAAGGCTCCTCTCCTAAAACCCACAATGCCTGGGGATTGCCGAATCAGAACCGCCAGAGGTTCAATGGCCAGGGCGAACAGTAAGGGGGACAACGGACATCCCTGTCTTGTGCCTCGCTGCAACATGGAAGCTTCAGACAGGGAATCATTGATCTTTATTCTGGCAGAGGGGTGATGGTATAGCAAACGGACCCAACCACAAAACCGTGGCCACCCCCAAAGGCTGACAGGACTGCCCACAGATATCTCCACTCCACACTGTCAAATGCCTTGGCTACATCCAAGGCCAGCAGTGCCCTGTTACCCGTATTGTCAACAGGGATCTGCATGTTCAAAAACACTCTGCATAAATTAATAGCGGTAGATTTATTGGGGATAAAACCTGAATGGTCCGAATGTATAACCGAGGCAATCTTTTGGGACAACCTATTGGCCAGTATCTTAGTTAACAGTTTGATGTCTGAATTCAACAGAGAGATAGGCCTGTATGATTCTGGTAACAGCGGATTTTTGCCCTTTTTCTGTAAAACTATCGTACATAGTAGCAGGCAGACTTCCTACAGAGAAGGCTTCATTAAAAGTGTCCAGTAGGGTAGATAGTAGGGTAGATAGAAGTGCCTAGGCGTGAGTCTTATAGACCTCAATAGGGAGTCCATCCGGCCCAGGGGCCTTCCCGTTTGGGAAACTAGCCATAGCCAGCTCCAGTTCCTCCATAGTGATGGGGGCCTCCAAGTCCAAACTGTCAGCAGCCCCAAGGGAAGGAATAGGAATGCTACCCAAGTAATTATCCAGCTCTGAAACAGTATAGGCCGCCCTGGTCTTATATAGGGAGGTACAAAATTAGCGGAATATGTCCGATATCTTCACCTGATCTGAGTGAGTAGACCCCTGCGAGTCCGAGGCAGCCCTAATTAAAGTGGTGGGTTGCTGAGCCCTAGCTATCTGAGCCAAAAGCTAGCCCGCCGCATCTCCCTCCGCCCAGAAAACCCGCCTAGAGAAAAACAGTTTATGCTGGGATTTTGCTGTCGACAAAGCAGAGGGAACGCTGAGCCCCCTGCCAGTCACCCTCAGTAGCGACACAAGGGCTACTAATGTACGCCCTCTCGCAATCTGCCACTTTCTGATAAGACCGCTGCAGATCCCGTCTAGACTTGGCAGAGCAGATGTTTAAGCAGAAGACCCCTAACATAGGCTTTCAATGTATCCCAGACCACCCCCAGAGGTGCAGATGGGATATTAACCGACAGAAAAAATGAAACCTCATTCTCCAGTGAGGAATGATCTGGGAACAGTGTCAGCCAAGGAAGCATCTAGCGGGGTCTACCCAAGGAGAGTTGGACCGAGATCATAGAATGATCTAAGATGCATCTGGGGTGTATCAACTCGTGAAGTATACGGCACCAGCTCTGATGTACCCAGGGCGTAGTCAATCCGTGAGAGAGTGTTATGGGACCTGGAGTGGCAGGTGTATTGCAAGTTAGTGGGATTCGACAGACACCACAGATACCAGCTCCGAGCATAAGTTACCAAAGGGAGTTACTGAGGAAGAGGTAACGGGCGATGGACACAGGAACCTGTCCACGCCCACATTCATAACATTGTTAAAATCACCCATAACTAGGACCGGGAGCCGCAGCTTATCAGCCAAGAAGCGCGCCAGGTCTTTAAGAACCCCACTGGAGAATGGGGGCGTAATGTACACAGATGCAACAATTCAAGTCATAAATGCGGCATTTCTTCAGAAACACATACCTCCCCGCCACTTCCACCTTTACCCGTGTGCAGGGGAAGGGCAAGTTTTTATGGTTAAGGGTGGAAACTCCCCTCGAGTAGGTGGGAGTAACATGAATGGTACCCGACCTGACAGACGTCTGTTCAGGGTGCCAGAGGTATCAGAGGTTAAGTGTGTCTCCTGCAAACAGATAATGGAAAGATTATTTAGCTGGACATGCCCAAAAACAGCGTTTCTTTTCACCGTGTCTCCCAGACCTCTCACGTTCCAGGAGACCAGATAAATTAAGTGAGCTGGCATTGCAAGTATAAGGCACACATCGTACAGCAGAGAGTAATTACATGGTCAAGTAGTAACAAGCACTCAGAAATACGACCGACTGTAGCTTCACATTGTAGAATACCTCGAGAAAACAAAAACATAGAAAAAAAT